TGGGCCAGCCCGGTGTCACCGGTAACCGTCTGCATTGTCCGTTTGTAGCTGAGGATGCTTCCCCTCGGATAAGCCCATCCAGCAGCAGAGGCACTGGAAGAAATGTCTCTGAGGAGTTTAATGAGGGAACACCCATATCTTCTCACTACTTTGCAAATAAAACCAAAAATGAAAGAAAGAGGAAAAGGATGCCAGCTTCCCAAAGGTCCAAGAGGAGAAAAACTGGCTTCGGTGGTTCCAGGACAAAGGGGTATGTTCTGCGGCCCGTCCTACAATGTGGGGGTTATGGGGGGAAGCCCCCAAAGTACAGTGCACTGGTTTGCTTTGAGGTATTTATTAAAATAAGCCATTATTAAATATCTCTTCAGTTAATGGGGTGATGATTAAGGTTTGATACAGAAGGAAAACATCTGTTTCAGGTTTTTAAAATATCTGCTCTGAAGTTGATTATCACTAAAGTTTTCTATTTACAAAAACTTCTCCAATTTTGACCTTACCTGTAAAAAAATGTTTGATAATTGCTCCTTTTAGAGTCTTTTGCACATAAAATACTGTAACTCAGATATTAGCTGAGTGAACCGGCTTTTGTCTCTTCATCTCTTTGATGACTCTGTCGGCACTGGTTACACTGCTTTTATTGTGCAGAATCTGCCAGCCTCCACCCAGAGGCCCGCCCACTCCCTGCCCCACGCACCTGGGGGAACCTGCCTCCCAGCCTGTCAGCCCTGACACCAAGAGGGCCTCAGGGAATGGCTGTCGTCTTCCCTTCCCACACGTGCCTGGTGCCCAGGCCGGGATATGGCTGCTCTGGGGCTCCCTGTGCACCCCAGGGAGCAAAGAGAGCAGTCTCGGATCCAGGGCAATAATCTGGGTGGCCTCTTGTTCATAATTGCACCGTTTCTGCCAGCCCCCCTTTTCTGTCTTCTGCAAGGATCCCACCTGCCCTCGCCTCGTAGGGAAGGTCTGGTAGGATAGTACCATCCTGTCAGTTTGGAGAAGCTGGCCCCAAAAAGCTGCATATGGTAACAGGAGTGCTTACAGAAGAAGGGAAGCAAGTCCTTGGTAAACCTTTACAAGCTGTGTGTCTTCTGCAGTTTTTCTACCTCTTTTACTTTTGTATAATAAAAACAAAAATTGAGTGAGGGAAGAAAAAGGAAGACAGTGTTACCAAATTATCATTTTCTTGTTAAGTCCATAAACAAGCATCTTATTTGTGCTAATCCTTCTGGAATTAAAGGCATTGGTAAATGTTAGTTTAATTTTGTGGTTTTTAGTACACAAGTGACCAACAGATGTTCTTCAGTAGGAACATTTTCTTGTTTTTTTCATTGATTCCTTCATTTGGGAAATACTCATTTCCTCAGGCCCTCCCACAGAGCAGAAGGAGACCTTAAAAGGCATCTGGTCCAAGCCCCTGGGGCTCGTGATGAGGAAGCTGAGGCCTGGCTGGGGTAGGCTTGTGTGAGGCCGTCCCCAGCCTGGCCTCACCCTCACAGGTAGACTGGACGGGGGCTTGCCCACACCTGCCCAGAGCACTAATTCCTGCACGTTGCCCCTGGAGATAGCTCAGAAACAAAGCCACCATCTTCTCGTTTTCACTTGTTGGAACAAAGCAAAGCATATCTCAGTGCTCGTTGCCATTGGCTCCCTTATCACATTGTCACAACCTTCGTTTATCAGAGTGAAGCCCTTTGCCCTATGACCTAGAAGCAATCCCATAAGAAATAGTTAAACTCACACTGTCCAAAAGCCAGGACTGATTCTGATGTTAGTCTTTAATTAGCAGATGTATTCACGATGGGATTCTTTTCTGATCCCCGCTGGCTAAAATCAGGCAGTTCTGTGACTTTTTTTTAACCCTTCCGGCAGCCTCTTTGCATCTGTGCCCCATTCCCCTCTAGCCCACTGCCGCCGTCTGAAAGGCAGTTCCCAGGTTGCAGTCTGCTTACCTGGTTGAGAGTCTCTGTGCCGGACAGAGCCGGTGTGGCCCTTTGCCAGAGAGCTTTGACTTCCCACCCTACCCTCAGGGTCTTGCATCTTCAGAATCCCACAGTGGGCAGTTGTGTTCTGAGCCCTCTGGAGTGTGGGCAGTGTGGACGGGGGTGGGTTGGGGGGGCAGTGTGGACAGCCCTGAAAACGGGAGGCTGCTGTTGGCAGATACGTGCTGTAAATCAACATAAACAGCAGGTTTTTGCTCGGGGCTTAATGTCTCAGCAGGAAATCAACACAGGGAAATAGAAGGCTGCTTCTCTGCTGGTTTAGCAGATCTTTGCCAGTTTTCTTCAGTAAAATTGCCCTCAAGCAAGAGTTTTTTTTAATGTTGAAATACCACTCTTCACCCAGCCCCACCAGAATGCCATTGCCCTAGACTGGCGGCCCTGATACCTCAGCTCTTAACTTCAGAGATGGGAGGCCTCTTACCTACCTGATGGTGTGGGATTAATGTTGGGCGTAAATGCAGCCTGGTTACGGAGCAGCTGGAAGTACTCATGTAGGGAAAGGCTTCCGTAGAACATGCTGTCTTCGTTTACCCTTGTAATGTGCTGGACCTGTAATTTTTTTTTAATGTTTTATTTGAGGCAGAAAAAAGCTGTTATCTTTAGATCAGTGAGGGAAGCACGGTGCTGGAAGGACTTTGTGATGGCCTGTGGTAGGGGCTTCTTCCCTGGTCTTAAAGGCAGGCGGCAAGTGGAGGGTAAGAGCACACAGATCTTGGGGTGTAGGCAAGGAGCAAGCTGCTGACGGTGTGGCCCTGACAGCCGTGGCAGACCTGAGCCTCTCTGGGGACCCGCCTCTGCAGCCTTCCCCTCTGCCACCCTGCTAGGCCACATGCAGGATCCCAGCTCCGCCCCATCACTACTCACCCACCCAGCTACCTATCCCTGGACTGTGCAGGTACAGGAATCCCAGAGAATCTATTGTCTGGGCATCTGGAACTTAAAACAAGGAATTCTCATTTCCTTCACTTGATCAGAATGGAGGTGGGATTGTGGATCTCAGCTCTTGTCTGGAGGAAAGGGGTTCTGATTGGCTGTGTCAGGTGGGGTGCAGAGAAGGCACGTGGCTTTGGCCTCAAGTCACAGAATGGAACAGCCCTTGACATTTTAGGAAGACAGGTTTATATGAAGGACAGCAGTCCTTACTCCTGGGATGGTGAAGGAAACTTAGCCACGCCGGGGGGGTTACGGGCAGAAGACGCGCCAAGACACACAAGACCGAAGAAGACTGAACAGTGTGCAGCTCCGTGCGGGCGAAGAGGGGGACGATTCTTCACTTCTGGATTCATTTAACATTTTAATTTTCTTTTCTTTGTCACCTCCTAGGGGGTCCACCGCATGCAGAAGGATATCTTCTAAAACTAAACCCGCCAACATGTTTGGACCCAGTTCAGCTTTGTGTGGTTCTCAAGAAGCTTCAGGAGCCAGTGGAAAACTGGGTATAATGGCTCCACCAAAGCCTATAAACAGACCGTTCCTTAGGCCTTCGTATGCATTTTCCTAACAACCACATCGCTTGTACATAGATCTTATTTCTTGTTTGTCAGCATCTGACCATCTGTGAATATAAAGCTGTTAGTTTTGTTGCACCATTTGTAATTTTTACCCATATCTATTAATATTTAAATAAATGCTTGGGAAGACAGTTCTTATTTTTAAACAAACACTTTCTCTTGAATAAGCATGATTTGCTGCCACTGCGAGCCCTGGGCCCATTGTCTCTCAGGAATTCTAAGCACAACTGGAGCACAGAAGCCGAAGGGAGAGACGTGCACGGGAGGACGCCGTGAAGCTGGGAGACTGTGTAGGAGACGAAGTGACAGAATTAAAGGGCAAATGATGGAGAGAACAGGAAAAATGTGTGACAGGATTAACATCCGTACTACAGAGGACCTGGAACCACCGAGGCAAAAGTCAGCCCAGTGGAAAAACGAACAAAGGATGTGACCGGGCTCTTCTCAGAGGAAGTACTCGTGGCCCAAATACGTGGAAAATGCTCTTTCTCCCTAATTAAAAGTGTCGATTAAACAATGAGATGTCTTTCTTTTGCCTATGGAATTGTCAACACTGGAGAATACACAAAATCTGGGGTCAACAAGAGAATGGTCAGGCACTAGCGGTGAGAGCGAGCAGAACGTTGGGGGGGGCCCTTTAGTGTTGGGGGGGCCTTACCTTCCAAGGCCCCCCAACCGTAGGCCGATCGGCCAGGAAGTCTTAAAGCAGAATCAGGGTGCCTCTTCAGAGCTCAAGCACCTCGTTTTTGGAGACGTCTTGTGTCTCTGCGGCACATGGCTTTGGTGACCTGTTTGGTGTCGCTCCTCCCTCGCCTTCAGTCAAGCAAGCAGAGCTGCCAAGGCCCTGCCTGGCCAAAGGCACTGAGGTCAGAGCTGGCTGGAAACCTGTGGACTCTGCCGGGAGGCTCAAGACTGAGTGGGCCCTGCACCCACCCCAAGGGGCACCCTCCTAGCTGCACACCCACTTCCTGTCTCAGCTGCCACCTGTGGGCTCCATAGTTAATGGAGGAGACCGGCCAGGTGGAGGCTGCTGAGGACTGTGGGCTACTTCCTCAAGATGCTTTCCAGAGCTGACATTTCCAGACCATCTTCCAGGTAAGCCCTGGCTCAAGTGGGCAGAAGAACCTGGAGGTTAGGAGAGAAAATGGAGCACGAAGTAAGTAGTTGAGGCCACCTGACTAACGTCCCCTGCACACCACCAGGAGAGTGGGTGTGCACAAGGGCACAGGAGGGATTGGAAACTGACCCGCCAGCGGTGTGCACACCCGCCCTGGGCCCTCCCACCACGAGGACTTCCTCCAGAGAGCTGTTACCTCCCAGGGAGGGTCTGCTACCACCCAGGAAGAGAACAACGATGGAGGCCCACGGTATACCAAGGTCACTTCCAGGGAATTTTCATGTTTACATCATTCCTTTAAGCCCTCCAACAGCCCTGGAAGACTGGCACATGTATTAGCCTTTTTATGCAGAGGCCAGGATTCAGACAGGTTATACAATTGCCCAGATCCACTCAGCTAGGACCTGGCAGTAAGTAGGGTCACAGACTCAGTGTGCCCTAAAGAGTCCCAGTCGACATCTGCTGCCCTGGTGTAAAAGTAAGGACAGCTTCCTTCTCCAAAGGTGCCAATTTGGACAATAAATTATAACAAATCCAGGTCTGTGCTCTTTACCTGGACAGTCCCACGTCTCCCAACACCATCTTTCCATCCGAAGCCCCAGGGGTCATCTGCTGCCCCATGCTCAAAACCCCAGGGACAGAAGCTGCAGAATCACCAGCCAGCACAGCTGAGCTGTGGTGTTTCTCCAGAAAAGGAAGTGGAGGCTGTGGTCCAGGTCCCCTTGCTGTTCTTGAGAAACCGCTGCTTCTCCTGCCGTTTGGAGCTGCTCCGAGCCCCAGAGGCCCTGCCCCAGCTCTCCTGGGCTCCCATGCTGGCAGCGGGACGAGTGGCCAGTGGGCCCTCTGGGGAGGCTAGAGTGGAATCCCAAAGAGCTTCCAGCAGCCCCTCCTTGGCATGGCAGGGTGTGGCCTCAGGGTGTGGAGGAGGGGGCTAGTGGGACATGCTCCAGGGACCCGGGCCCTGACCAGACCCCATTAGGTGTTCCAGCCCGCGACCTCTGCCCTCAGTTCCTGGGAGGCAAGGGCTCAATTCTGCAGCTGTGCAGGGTCCCTCCAAAGCCTCTCGGACAAGCACACTCGGCCCTTAGAAAGTTCCTGCTTTCCTGAAAGCACCCATTCACCTGTTCTTCCTCCTCCCGAACAGCTTTCCTCAGCCAGGCCCGTGTTCCCTGTTGGCAGGAGAGGAAGGGGGGGGAACAAAGCCTCACAATGGTTGGAGCAGGCGGCTGAGCCCGTTTTGGTCTCTGGGACAGAGGACAGCACAGGAGGCTAGATGGAAGCCCAAGTCGACAGCTGGAGCCCACAGAGCCCCAGGAAGGGAGGCACCCCGAGCAGGGATGTGGGCCTGGAGTTGGGTGCTTGGGTGGAGGATATGGGGTTCTGTTGTCACAGCCCATCTGCACAGTTCCACCATCCCACGGAGGAGTTGGTGTCCACTGGTGGCCATCCCGGGCTTGAATGGCCCCAGGCCTAGGTCTGCGTGGCATGTGGGAGTCCTCCCCGGCAGACCTCTCCCTATGGGGCCCACACGGCCTGGCACACACAGGCTGTAGGTGTCAGCCTGTCCTGGCCCCGTGTCCTCCCCACCAGGAGCCTTGAGGCCCCGTGGAGGTCAGGCCCTGGCCCTTTGCCCAGCTCTGGGTGGGAGCTGAGCATGGAGGTGTCCACCTCCCACAGGGAAGACTCCCTCCCTGGGGCAGAACCCAGAGTAGTGAGCCTTGGCGGGGAAGGCGGGGAGTGTGAACTGGGAATCCTGACCCAGGGACCTTCACTGGGAAGGGTCTAAGGAGCCTCTGTTGACAGATGGGATCCCAGCCTGGGAGGAAGTGTGTCCACCACCGTGGCTGGGGTCCTGCTTGGACCCAGAACCTTGGGTCTCATGTCCCCAGCGAGGGGCCTGTGCCTCATGACCCGGGGAGGCGGTAACCCCGCTAACCTCAAGACAGAAGCATGAACGACTGCGGCCGCCGTGGTTTAACAGTCAGTGCCGGGGAGAAGTCGCCCTCACAGGCCCCACTGCCACCTGATGCCTGCATGTGTGCAGTGACACCAGGGACTGTGGTCCCTCTGTCACTGCCGGGTCCCCAGCACCCAGCGGAGCAACCCTGCCCCTTCCGCACTAGCTGAGTGAATTTTAAAGCTCCACAGCCTCTCTGAGCCCCAATTTCTCATGTGCACAATAAATGTAACACCTGGTCCCTGCCTCCCAGGGCGGCTGAGGGTGCCCTTTTGGTCAGACACCCCACAAGCATTTACAGGTGTGCTGTGCCCCCAGCAAGGTCACTGCCAAGAGGGGCAACAGCACACACTCTAACACCTTGGGAGAAGGGCACAGAAGTGGACTGGATATGGGGTGCTGTGCAGCCCCGCTGAGACCTAGTCCAGGCTGGGCCACAAAAAGTAAAGTGCGAGCCTTGAAGGAGAAGTAGGAACTCAGAAGGAGAGGGGGCGACCCCAGGCGAAAGGTAAAGGGTGGGGGCTTAGCAGAGCAGGGCTGGGAGGGGCTCAGGGCCAGCTGAGAAGAGCTGTCCCGGTGGTCCTGGCGGAGGGGCATGGACCTGTCCCCAAGGAAGGCACTAAAGCAGGAGACAGACATGACCTTGTTTGATGTGAGGAAATTGGTCTGGTCACAGGGTCAGAAAAGGATTGGAAGGATGAGGCTGGATGCCAGCAGATGGGCAGGAGGGCTCTGGCTTGTCCAGCCTTCAGAGTAACAGGTGACAGGAGTGGACAGGTCCCACTGGCCAAGGAGGGGAAAAGGGCAGGGATGGGGCTGTCGACACGCTCTGAAGGCATCCCGAGGGGACGGCGTGTGTGCATCGTGATACCACAGTCCCCACCCTCCCCGGGTTGGGGCACACTCTGTTGCCTGAAGGGTTGACTTGGGGGCTCCCCTTGAGCCCACTTGGCTCGGATCTCCTACAATGTAGGGGTGTGTGTGTGTGTGTGTGTGCGTGTGTGCGTGTGGTCTCTGCAGCTCACATTGTGTCCTCTGAGTGGCAAGAAATTCTTCAGAGGCCATACTCCCCGCTCACCAAAAAAGGCCAACTTTGGGCTAATTTATTTTTTATTTAAGAGCATGTGATGAGTGTTCTGCTTGTTGGCCTGGAAAGTCACCCACACCATGTCTAAAGGAGCACAGCAGACCCCTTGCCTCAGGACTCCCTGCCGCTCGCTGCTGGCGGGGTCCCACACGGGCCACACAAGGCTGTGACATGAGGCGCACGGGGCTCAGCAGCTGTGCGTCTCGGAAACAACAGCACTTTTTTTTTTTTAAAAACAACATGGTGAGGAAAGATTTTATTTCTCACTTCGTGTGCGTGTATATCTGTGTGGAGAAGGAGAAAGAGTTTGCTCACCAAAATATTAACAGTGGCAGAATTGAGGTGATTTTTACTTTTCTGAATGTTTGACTTTTTACAATAGGCTCTGTATCAATTTTACCATCAGAATAAGGCCAGGGGACAGCCATTCAGCCACCTTGGGATCCACCTTTGCTCCAGAAGGGCTTTGGGGTTAAAACATCCAGTGGACTGGAAATAGGCTGTGGGGCCATGAGTGACTGTCCCCTCCCAGGGCCGAGATCAGGCCAGGCTAGCAGGCATCAGTGGGGTTTGGCGTGTGGGGCATGACAGGCTGGAGTGGCTGTGGGGACTCCAGGCCGGCTCCCAGGGTCTGGCCGTCTCCCCTGGGGCTGCCCTTCACCCTCCTCTGCTCTTTTTTCTCACCTGAGAAAGGCAATAGGGACACAGAGCCAGCCCTGGGCCCCATTCCTGAGCAGAAAGAGACACTTCTCCACCTGGCCACCCTCCTCACTATGAGGGAACTGCCCCAGGCGAGGCAACCTGTCTAGGTGACTGTGGGGAAGCAGAGGGTTGCTGCATTGGAGGGAGAAGGGTGGGAGCCCAGACAGCCTGCAAGGACCCCCACCCCGCAAGTCCTGCCGACCCCCGCACAGCCCTCAGCTCAGGTCTGCTCTTTGCCCCAGGCCGGGGTTCTAGCTGTACAGCAGGTGCCCGATAACACGTTAGGTGGATGGCTGGGTGGGTGAAGACGGCTGCTGTGAAGGCACCTGCCTAGACTGCCCGCCCGTGGGAGATGAGATAGGAGTCTGGGGACAGGGGCTTGGGGCCTGCCGGACCTCCGACCTCTCGGCCCAGTTGGCAGGCCAAGCCTGTGGAGCCCAGTGGCAGGGCAGCCAGTGGAGGCTTCGCCCTCACAGCTTCTGCTGGCTTCTCACCAAAGCAAGTGAAGGTTGATTTCCAGCTGGCCTCAGCATTCACTTCGATGTCCTTCTTGTGTATGTATTGATGTTCTTGGTTATTGCTGTCTTATTTATTCTCCAAAAGCTTGCCAATTTCCCCACTTATTGATGTGGAGATGCGCCATTAACCGTGTGCTAAGATTTGTATAGTCTTGGCACCCGTTTCCACCTCCCAGTTTGGTCCTGTGCATCTGGAGCCCACTCAGGTGTGGAGAAGCCTTTGGGGAGGCACAAGATACATGCGGGGATGGAATTCAAGCTTGAGCCTCTCCTGCCTGAGCAGAGCTTCGAGTCCCCGCTGAGCGGCAGAGGCCCAGGGCAGTGGAGCTGGACTTCCGCACTCCTGCAGGGCTGGTTGAAGAGCAGTTTCTGGTCAGCAGATCTGGGGTGGGGCCTGAGGGTCACGTCTGACCTGCTCCCTGGGGCTGCTGTTGTCAGCCACTGGCCCACTTTTGAGAAGCACTGACCTCAGGCAGAAGAAGGGGCACCAGGGGCCAGCTCGCAGGTGAATGCAAACCTCAGCTGCGGAATTTTAGCTTTGGGCCTTGGGAAGGCATTGTCTCTTTCATCCTTGGTTCCGCTTGGTGGCTGAGCTGCTGCATCTGCCTGTTGGGTAGGTTGGAACCGTCCAGAGGGGGTTTAAGAAAGTAGAGTGGCCTTCCTCGGCGGGAGCTGTTCGCAGGGAGGGGGCTGGCATCCCGGGGAAGCCAGGGCTCTGAAGCCCCTTCCGGCGCCTAAGTGCATCTTAGAGACTTGGCAGCTGGGGGCAGAAGCAGAAGTGTCTTTCCCGGCAGGCACTTTGCCGTGTTCTAGAGGCCAAGGAAAGCTCCTTAAGACTAGTCGGAGCGAGTGTAAGCTGACATTTCCCAGGCCTTGCCAGCCTGCAGGGTCAGATGGGGGTCACATTACCACCCAAATCTGCCCAGGAGCAGAATGATGTCTCCCTGCCAGGCCAGGTGAACAGCATGCCAGGATTCGGTCCACTGGGGACTCCTGGACCAGGGGCCCTGGGCACCCACGTGTTACAGAGATTCTCCAGAAAAATGCCATTCCGGTGTTTACTTAGAGCCTGCTCTCTTGGCCTGGACCCAATAGGAACCAGCTGCTGAGCTGGGAAAAAGTCGAGCCACAGACAGGATGGGGCCAGCCTCCGGGGGCTGTGGGTTTCACCAGTTCATAGCAAGGAAGGCTATCAAATGGCTCTCACGTCAGAGTGCTGGGGGTCAGAGGCCAATCGGGTCAGTTTATCATGTGACTGAGCAAGACACCTAACTTCGCTGTGCCTCAGAGAGCATAGCATTACCCTATGGGCTTGACTGTCACCAGGATTTAACAAGATAACCCACGATCAGCCTGGCATGAAGTGCCTGGCATTCACTGAACACGAGCTAGTGTTATGGCACAGACCCACTCTGTGTTTGCTGTTCGTGGCGTGTATTTGTGCAGAAGTTGACTGGCGAATAAACTGGGCATAGTTCTCACTCAGCAGGCTCATCCATTCTCAACCTAATCTTTTTATAAAATCGCTTTCACAAAGAAAAGAAGCCTCCTTCAGGCATGGCCATGCCCAGCTATCCAGGAATCATAAGCATCCAGATTCTGGGGTTCAGGAGACTGCCAGACAGCACCCCATAACATAAGAGGGCTCACTGCAGACTCTAGAAGCCCCTGGAAAATCTATGACAGACATCAGAGGGTGTATAAATCCCTAAGTTGTATGTACTATTTTTGTATGTTTGCAGGTTTCTAGGAGAGTGACTATGACTTCCATCGATTGTCAAAGGGGCCAGCATCCCCGAAAGGCTAAGAGACTCTGCCTCAGAGAGGCTGAAACAGGCCTCAGTGGCTCCCTGGAACACACAGGGCCTCCCTGAAACCAAGACCCTGCCACAAAGATGGGAGTCGCTCACGTCTGCATCTCTTCCTGTGAGAGCCCAGGCCTTCTGCAAAGTGAGCATCAACTCAGCACAGTCAGACGGTAGAGCCAGTGAAGACGTGTGAAACCCCCGGCCAAAGCGCGTGATGATAATCAGCCGTAATCATAAGCCGCCTGCCCTCGGCAGGGCGATAAGCCTCATGGGTCAGGCAGTGGACCTGCCCCATCACAGAGCAAGCAGATAAAGGGGCTGGCGGGGCCGGGAACCAGACACAGAGCGGCCGGGCCGGGGCAGCCTGGGAGCTGTGGCCCAGGCTGAGCTCGGGCTCTGCCGCTCGCTGGCCACTGAGCCTTAACTTCTCTTGGCCTTGCTTCCGCATCTGCAAGTGGGATTCCATGTGACACTAGGGCCACCTGGCCTGTGTTTCTCGGGGGGGCCGCTGTTAAGGGCCAAGAAGCCCTCGAATGTGGGTGATGTGTTCAAGGCCTGCTCCAGAGTCCACTGGGGCCTGGGCGCTCCAGTTTGAATCCTGAGTTGGCCCTTCCTCCCTGGGCACCTGTGTCTGCTGGGACCTTGTCTGCCCCTGCCCCAGGGCCACCCCATGGACTTCCCAGAGCACGGCCAGCCGCACAAATCACAGCCATCATCATGATGCTCACGTGCCCAAGACACGTAGGGAGCCACTGTCAGCCCCTCTCTTCTGGTAAGAGGGCTGGAATTGAACTTTAGCAGGGACTCCAGGATGGCGGGGGAGCGGGGTTAGCAGGAAAGGATCAGAATGTCCCAGAGAGAAATTAAATCGCAGCTTTATGGTGACTGGTGAGACTCCAGTGAGACGTTTCTTGTAACCTCATGGAATGGGTCTATTTTGGGCTTAGCAGCTCCATTCCTGAGAGCCTCTGCTTCCTGTGTGCTTTTACAGGCATGAACCCTCGCCACATCCCTGTGCACAGAGTCCTGCAATTTTCCTGTGGCAGCTGAGCCAGGAGGGCCGTGGAGGAAGGAAGGCGTGGACCCTGGATTCCCAGGCCGCCTGATGTCACCAGGCTGGATGGGCGACAACACCCAGGACACCCCAAGCATCTCGATGAGACGGTCAAGCTGTTCTGCCGGTCATGTCCCAACTCTGGCCACCCCCCCTCAGGCAGATGGGGGACCCTCTCAGGCCTGATCCACCCCTCTCTGGCCCTAATCCCAGGTTCTCTACCTTCCTCCCCAGGACTGCTCAGCCTGCCTCCTGGCCTGAGGTTGTCACCAAGCCCTGGGCTCATGCCGAGAGCATGGCTCCCAGGGCAGTGGGTGAATGGGGTGGGGACACCACGAGGGGAAGCGGGGTCACTCTCCTGAGAGGGCTGACTTGGTATGTGCCTCCTGGGATAGCCTCCCAACCCCACGGAAGCTCCCGACCAAAGTTCAGGGGCAGGGCCACACCCATTTCTTGCGCAAGGCCCAGAGGTGGGCAAGGGGCTCCTCATGCTAAAGACAAAGGCCTTCCTGCCCTCTGAGGGGGCTACCCCAATGCCCAGGCCCCAGATCTGGGACTGGTGTTTCCAGTTCTTCGAACTTGTCTGTTGTTGACTGGCTGTGTGACCTCAGGCAAGTCACTTCCCTCCCCTCTCCGGCCACAGAGGCCTCTCCGATACCATTAATGATCCGGTTTGCCCACCCACTCAGACATTCCAGAGCTGCAGTGCTCAGTGCCACATGATTTTACATAATTGGAGACCCATCCCTGTGATTTGGCCGGAATGCGCAGGGCCCTGGCGAATGGCTCGGCAGCTCTCACCCCCAGGCCTGGACACCCACGCGGCTCTGGGTAGGGAGGGGGAAGTCCCACCCAGGCCCACAGAAACGGAGCCTCTCTGGGTGTCTGGACGGGCAGGACCAGGGGATTTGCATCTCGGAGAGGCTGCCTAGGAGAGGGGTTCAGATTTTAGAAAGCAGAGTGAGGGAGGGCACAGGCCCCTTCCCCCAGTACCTGACAGAATGATGCACAACGTCGGGCTGTCGATGGAAAGAACCACCCAACAAACATGAGGCCGACTGACAGTCTCCACAGCAATGGTCCCCAGGGCCCCCTCCTCACGCATCAGGCCGCCTCGGGCCTGGGGGCAAGACACAGCCCTGGCACCGGAGGGGCCCGGGTGCAAGTGTGGAAGGAATGGCAGGGAAGGGATCTGTAGCCCCAGCAAAGGG